GCAGACGGTATTTATAGCACAAGCAGTAAAATGAATTTCAGGAACAAAAAAGAAATAAGTTTAGCTCAAAAAAAAAAAAAAAAAAATTGGCAAAGCATTCAAGACAGATTCCGAGCTAACATACATTGAAAAGCATTACAGAGAAAACATGTGCTTTGATGACTGTCATGTTAAAAAAGGAAATGGTGTGTTACATAATGAACAGGCTGGCAGTGGTGAAACACAAGAGCTCTGTGAGTTGGTTAAACAGTCAGATAAATGTATTGTGTTGTCTTGTACTAATAAAGCCGTAAATAATGTCAAAACAAGTTTGCAAGCTTTTGGATACGACAAAACACAGGTCAATAAAATGTGTTACACTTTTGATAGCTACTTGTGAAAAAAATTATTGATAGCCTTGAAGGTAAAGATATCTTCACTGAGGAGTTTAATATGGTACCTAATAAATGGATTACTACAATTTATAAAGCTTTTACAATGTTCAAGAACAAGGTTTACTTGTTTGGTGATTGCAATCAATGTGAACCTGTAGAAGCTGGTAGTCAAGTGCATTATCATTATCAGTTATCAGCTACTATCAATCAAATGTGTCGCACAACAAAAAATAAAATACATTGAACGTACTGATAGATATGATAAAGAGACCAATAATATGCTCGATACATTCCTCAAGACTGATAAGATATCCCCTTACTTTGAACCAATAGGTAAGTACAATGAGAATATCTGTTCTATGAATACTACCAGGATATGAGTAAATACAGAATGCTGTGATAGATTTGTACAAAACAAAAAAAGAGACCATTGACTTAAAGTATGATGGTAAGACTGAGGGTCATACAAGGTATGTGTTGGTACTCCTATAACTGCAACACAAAATATCAAAGACAAACAAATGTTCAGTACAATGGAGTTTATTGTGCAGGATATTAAACATAACAACGTTAAGATAAATGGTGAATGGTTTGACATAAGTAAGTCTGCAGAATACTTCATCCCTAGTTTGAGTGTTACAGTTTCTAATACCAAGGCGCAGACATCAATGAGAACTATAATATCTGCGATGTCAATCGCAAGGGTAAAAGACAATTCTATACCGCATTATCTCGTACCAGAAAGTTTGAGTTCATTCATCTGAACTTCAAAGAGCTACCAGAGTACAACCAATGTTGGATTGACATAATTATAGTAAGTTTAATAGTCTATACAAGAATGGTACGATATATAAGATAATGTTTGATGACAGTAGAATACATGTAAGTTCAACATGTGAAAAACTGAATCCAAGGTTGAGATGGCATTTGTCTAACAAAAACAGCTAGGTTTACAAAAACAGAAAGAATAGCCCAAAAAATTGAGCACATTGTCACAGCTTCTTCTGCTGATAAAAAAATCTTTAGACAACGGAAAGAGTTGTTATATCAGTTGATTAAATGTTAGATCAAATCCATTAAAAAAGAGAAAGAAAGTTGAGTATAATGTTGCTGTAGACAGTGAACAACAATTTAAGAGAGTAAGATTACTTCACAAAAGACTGGTAATCAAAGACAACATAGATAAATCATACTTTTCCATTGATGCTATAGTTGACCGTATGAGATATCACAAGAAAACCCAGTATAATGATTCCTCTAAAGATGAGGCATTAGCCACGATATCAAATGAGAAACAAAAGATTATTGACCAATTAATCATAAATTTTGACTAAATATCATATTCTTTACTTTTCCACAGTGCTATATATTGTACACTGTTAGTCTTAACTAATATAGATAAACTGTTATTTCAATATCTTTATTCTTTACCGCATTTATAATATAATTCTTTTGGTCAATTTTAATACCATTTCTTTATCAATATATCATTCTTGAATAATACGAAGATTAATATACTATTATACTAGATAAGAATACACGGAATTACACTCGTAAACGATTACCAAGAAATAAAAAAGAAGAACTACTAAAGTAGCCATGGGTGACAAGAAAATACCCTAAAGGCCCCTCCCATATATGGCGCAAGATTTTGGCATTACAGCTCCTGTAGTAGAAGTGATTTTTCTTTGATCCATACAACCTTCATGATCAAAGACTGAGGACTACACGAAGTAATCTGCACTGTTCCTGGAGTTTTTTTATATGTTAAACCAGAGTAGGTGTTACTCACTAAATGGTTATGTAGCTCTCAGTGGTTATCACTGAAATCAAACTCGCGTGATAAAGGAAATGTTTTGAACGAGAAATGAAAGCCTTTCTTTTTTTTTTTTTTTTAAGAAACTGTGGGTTTACATTGCGACCACGTGTGTATCGGATGTTCCCTGCTGATCAGGTAAGCGTAAGCTGGAAAAAAATCTTTTAACGCAGGATAGTTTATTTCCCTGTTTGTTCCTTGTTTCTTTTATCATCTCGTCGAGTATCGACGTCATAAGGCTGCATCAAGGAACCAACAAACATAACGCAAAACTTTCAGCTCTCTGACTTCTGTGGTGAGGGCTGTTTATCAATCTACTAACGTACTTATTTAGTAACTTTACATGTTTTCTTTTCTACAGGAAACAGAAAGAGTGAACATTGGTATGCAAACATCAAGAAACAGCCCTACCCAGGGAAATGATCATCACTAAGGATGCCTCTTGTTCTCGACACATTTACCTCCAGTTCGAGAGAATCCGTAGATCCGTAGGTTTTCAGGCCTAGACGTTAAGAAACTTTGTTTACATGGCTCTGGTTCACTGACTCATAATCCTTTTTGTTAAATTATTCATTCTCTCATACATGTTTACTGTATAAATCATTTCACTGAATAAAAACAAAGAAAACCTTGTACAAAAATGCCTCAAGATTGAGTCTATAGCAAAAACAAAAGCGAGTTTCTGTCAGTTGACGCGCTTCTTTCATCTACTCATTCAAAGATCCAGCCCACAGTCAAATAAACAGTATCATATTTGCATTTGAACGCGATGGTCTGCATCTGCATTTCTACGTCACGCTCGAACGGAAACAACCAAGACCCCCTTTACAGTTTTTGGGGACGGAAACTGAACATAAAGTATCCGTTAACAAAGTAGAATTAATTACTGAAGATTTACCGAGAAGAGTGAACTTAACGTGCTGCTAAAATCATCCACTAATAGGCAAAGTAAGCATTTTAGAAACTCGAATACCAATGAAGCTAATTTTGGGCTAAATCTGTCTCGAGTCAGACAAATTATTTTAATAAACAACAGTTCAAAAGTTGATTCCGTCAATCCCGAATCACCCTCTATGTTTATGAAACGTTTTAGACACACACTGATTGTAAAAAGACAGAGCGTTGAGAATGCCGACTCTTGTGCATGCAAGAGAATGGAATTATTTATGTCTCCACTACACACTGGAAGAGCAAAGAAAAGCAAATTTAAGTATAGGTTTAATTTTAATTTTTAAGAGGGTTAGCAAGTTTTGATTGAGCATGTCAAGGTAAAAGTTAAGACGAGCACAAGCACTCAACTCAGTCGATTTAGTTTGAGAGGGATAAAAATAGATGACAGATAAAAGTATACAAAGGAAATTCTAGCCCGAGGTCATCTACATTAAGACTCATTTGAGCCGCAAGAATTTCAAGTGGCCAACCAGAAGAGGTGTCAATCAACCCTGATTGATTCGCTGAAGTCACGAGAATTTGACTCGTAATTTGACTGAAAGCTGCTAATTAGAAGGGAGCTACATTATCTTTGCCCGTTAATGTTTCTATTCAGGATGGTTAGAACTCTCGAATGCTCAACTTGCTTCAGTTCTTCGTTTTTGATGTCTACATCGTCAGTTTACAAAGGACAGAAAACGGTCACCACAATCAATAAGCAATCACGAAAGGCGGGAAATGACATAAACTGCAAGATATGAAAGACTCAACTCAGCAAGATGGTGCCTTTCCACCCTGATACATATACTTCGAAGTTAAACTTGATAAATCTGACTTTGAAAATGCTAGAAACTTTTGCTTTGAATGCAGGTTACGAAATAGTTTCAACATTTCCGCTGACAAGAGTGACTTGGTTACGACTAATAGGCTGAATGCACAAGATTGTAAACAAATACTATCGTAATGCAGCTATGCTACTCTTTTCACGAGAAAAAAATAATAAAAAAAAGAGGAACGCCTGTAAAACCGAAAGTTTCCGATGAGTCAAACTAAAGACAAACGAAAATGAAATTTCGTAAATGTCTTCACCCCCCATAGATAAGGCAGATTAGTGTCAAAGCTCCGAGTTGTTTCTCTCAAGTATACAGATCAAATATTATGTACCAATTGAAACGACTTTGGTTATAGATCATATTCCCTCAAACCAAATCAAGACAAGCTTTTACCGATATGCAAGAGGTCTGATAATTAGGGACACCTCATCCACACATGTCCGAATAACACTCTAGTGCATTGACATTGAAAGGGTTTGAAAGGGTTTGAAAACCGCTTACAAGACTCACGTGTTGCCTTAATTTGCAATTATTTCAATTCAGAAGCGTATCCCCTTTGACAGCTTACCGTCACGTTTTCATATTTTTAGCAGAATTTCTTGTCACGAAATTCGAAGGAAAACAAATCAAAATTCTTCCTGCAAAACAGGTAAAATATTCAGGAAAATTGGGAACGCCAGCCAACGTTCACAATCAATCACAATAACCTTTAGCAGAACGAAAAAAGATTAAGGACGGAAAGGATGATAAAGATTGCAAGCGATAGACTAAAACAGTGTATGCTCACAATATCACGACGCTGACTCGCTCTAAAACAAATAGCCTGCATTCATTTGCTCCAAGTGGCACATAATAGGCTACCAGACCTTTAGTCATATGTTATCCTCTCTCTTTGACATAACAGATTAGAAAATAAAAGGGTTCTTAAATAAAGATATTTAATAAAGAGCTTCTCCCTTGGTTGCGGAAGATTGTTATGTAACCCGCTAAGGATGTTGGGAAATGTTTTGTTCGTTTCCAGATCTCACTTCAAACGTTCACAACAACATGGCGGACAAGAAAGGCAACTTCTGGGTAAGTGGAATTTCTCTAAATGAAAGGACATTTGCTTCAAGACTTCCGACTAGGAATTAGGGAAGTTAAAGCTGAATGGCAGACCCGAGCGCTGCAAATTACTGCTAAAATTATGATAGGACATCTAACGAAATAGTTGGCATCGAAAGTTTTGCAGGCAATCGCAATTCCTAAAAAATGTACTGGAGATTATGGCCATTTCTGTTGATTTTTTTTACATACTTTTAGGTTATATTTTCCAAGCCCGATCGGAGAATGATATGCCATGCTTTTGACATAAAAATTAACCACAAAATAACAATACTATAGTGAAATTTTGACTCACGATGACTTTCAGCTTGTCTCTGAACAGGACAGTTTTCCGAAGTACACACTCGTAGTTCCAATTGCCCTTCCTTCATGTTGGCCTAAATCATACAGAGATAAAAACGCCGTAAATACGTGTAAGGGACAAGATGAAGGTTATACAATTTAAACATTATAAGAGAATTACGAGCAAAGAAAAAATCAAAACGTCTTCACATGGATACGATAGAATTTAAGCTACAGCATATGCGCATAGGATCGTTTTTTCAACTGATATTCGGGGAAAAGAGTTAACCTGCAACATTATGGAAGCGACTCTGAGTAAAACCTTTTATGTCATTTGCATTTAAGTATTACAGAAATTCCGAAATACACTACAGCAGTGACAGCAGTGAAAGCAGAGGCAGCAGTGGGGAGGATAATGACTCTCTAGTGTCATCTCTCGATCATGGAGACAGGGAAATTACTCAGGAAACTGTTCAGGTATAACCATCGCATATACATATGTGGCGGATTTTGTACTATTTCTCTTTTTTATTCTTATTTACCAAAAACCAAATTGGAGGGTTATTAAAATAAGCAACTTCACTTCAAATGTTCCTTTCTCACCATCTCAACTAAAGGCACCCTCCACAGCAGTTACCCTGGATTTTCAGGATATGCCTCCAAGCAGGTAAGGAAAATACTTTTGGAATGCAATCGTACACAATTATTCATTGTCTTTTTGTTGTTTGATTGTCAATTGAATCTTCATATTTAAGCTGAAGAAACTGACCTGTTAATTAGTATGATAAATCATTTCATAACTAACTTTTAATTTGGTATCTATTGTTCAGAAATGTATTTCTTAATGATAAGATATTTAAACAACACAGCCTTCAACCATTGATATTTTCAGAAGTACTCAAGGAGGTTCAAATGCTAAAGGAAATGTCATCCAGCCGGTAGAAGTAAGTTCTGCTATCTTGAGGCATAAATCATCTATTTCTTTTCAAAACTTTTCATAATAGGTGCACAATAAGGAACGGTTAACATCATAAGGAGGCCACATTAACCATATGACAACGGGGGAAATCAAATCTTTGGTTTGTAAGATGCATGTAGAAGTTTAAACAACTTTTGCTAAAACAGCTTCAACTACTAAGTATATGTCTGTTTGCATTTTTTTCAGCTCGTGCCCAGGAAACAACCTCGAGTGAAACAAGAGTAAGTACTAATTTCCTGATTGCCATCACGAAGTTTCTTAACCCTGTGACTCCCATGAGTGACTGAGACAGAATTTCTCCTTATGCTATCACTCCAATATCAACCAGAAAAGTGATGCGAATAAAGAAAAATATTACTTTGGGATAATTAGTTGATCCAGTACTAAATTCTCTGATCTAACATTTTAAGAATTGTATGGTTACCAGTAAGGAGAATTACGATTTTGATCTGGAAATTAAAGGGTTAATCACAACCAACTTTATGTGGCAAGTTGTCTGAAACAAGAGTAAATTACGAAAGTCCTAAAACTAATAATAACAACATGTAGTTTCTTTATCTCTTTGTAAGTTTATTTATTCATTTATTTTTCAGGGCAGACATAATAAGGAAGTACGTAAAGGTATGAAAACCTATAAATTTTGTCCTAAGTGACAACAAAATTTCCTTTAGTTCAGATGACGGAGACAACATTTGAATGAATACAGATGAACTCCAGTCCTTAATCACTGCAACTGCAACAAACAGTTTGAGTATCGCTTTTGCCCGTTTGGCTCTCGATGGCAATTGTTGACACGCAGGAGGCAACAACAGCACTGACACTTCCAAATTAACGGTTATATTGGCTTGCACCTAAAGACAAGTACTCTAAGAAAATAATAACAAGAAATTACCAAAACAAAAAGCCAAAGAAAAGAGAGAAACTCGTTTAGGGAGTGGTGTCCCTCAAAATCGAAGAAAGACTTCCAGCGTAATGGTGAGAGGGATATTTTTATGTAAGAAACATAATTGGACTTTAACAAACTCTTACTGGCTCGCACTTACAAACAACCGTACGAGTGAAAAACAAAACAAAGCGAAAGAAAAAAAAAACAAAAAAAAAACCAAATAATTAACAAAGATACTTTTAATTCAAATAATAAAAGAAAAACAAGAAAATAGAACTTTCACTTGTACATAATATCGTAGTGCAGCTACAGCTCCACCTTATTTTCTACCTAAGCACCGAAATAGTGATTCTAACTCCTGTTCTCATCCCTTGATTTTTTTAGGGATCAAGCGGAGCACTTGTCAACGACCAACCAAAGTTTGAACAGTTCACAATTGGTCTTCTGCTGGCTGTGTGCACGATACTTGTCATAATATTGTTTTTCATGGCAGTGTACATGCATATGTACATGAAGGAGAAGTAGTATCTATTAAGATAACCATATTTATAAAAATATAAATTAGAATTTCTGTTTATTTGAGGTGAAAAGCTGCTGTATCTTAGAGCAATAAAAAGAAAATACCATATGCAAAAGCTGCTGTTGATAGGTTTGTGATTATTTCCTTAATAAGGTATCTGCTTCTTCAAGAAATACTCCTCAAGCCACTGTAATTAGCAAAGTACTTCAACTGACCCATAATAAGGGTATTAAATGATGTTCAGATGATTATCTGCTTTTTGTCATGAACACGTAAAAACAAAAATACTTATGAACCTGTTCCATGGTGTAAGGACCAAAGGATATTTCCTAACTTAAAGAAAAAGAACTTAATTCCTCACCCGGTCGCTCCTCCTCACCTTCCTCGAACAAGTCAATTCCATTTGAAATCTAGAAGTGTACTTGCTCTAGTGCTCAGCAAAGCGAATGCATATCAGTGTTTTCAAGCAGTCATTACACTCCATTTAAGTTATCACTATCGAAGCGCGACTGAACATCACAAGAAGGTACACCATTTTTTAAAAAGAATTTCACGTAATATGACAGACCAAATGTAAAAATGAATACATTGATAAACAAAATAAAAACAAAAATTAATTGTTTCGCACGTTATTCTCCTACTGGCAGTTTGCTCAGAGGCCTAAGATATCTCCAATCTGACAACCAGATGAATAATAAAAATAAAGTTATCGATAACATTCCGAAAATGAAAACATAAAGTTGACCCCACTATGTTTCGCTTAACATGAATCTCAACTAAACGCAATCTTTGGGCAGTATACAATATATGAATATATATGAATAAGCCATTTAAAACCATGCACCGTGTGCAAGATTCCCAACACCTCCACTAATGTTGATCAAATGAATGGCCTCCCCTGTCTGCCGAGGTTAAACCAAATAGAAAATACATGAATTTTGTTCTAATGCTTCAGTTCAGATAACAGGGAAAATATTTGAATTAATACAAATAAACATAACTCCTTAATCACTGCGAACAGTTTGAATATGGTTTTGTATGATCAGATTTCTGTGCCAAAATTTTGACTCGCAGAAGGCAACAACAGCAGTGATACTTCAAAGTAACGGTTATGTTGGCTTGCACCTAAATACAAGTGCTCAAAATAAGTATCAATAATAAATGCCAAAAAAAACTTTAGTTCCAAGAAATGAAAGAAAGCAAAGAAAAAACAAAAGAGGAATGACTTACAACGACACCATATCCTTTCTGCTTAAACCTTCACACACAATTTTTTTTAATAAGAGACACCCAGCAATGTTGAGGAACTTGCTAAATTCAAAGATAACTCTTCGAGCGCAAAGTTGAGTGGAATATTAAAAAAATTAAACATGTATCGCATGTACATAGAACAGCGAAAAATTTGGGAATTCATAACCCTCGTACCTAGCTTGTATGTACAAACAACTGTACAAGTGCAAAAAAAAAAAAACAAACAAACAGACTAACAAACCAAAAACTATCAGAAATACTTTTATTCTGAAAACATAGGTAACCAAAGAAAAAACAAGAAAGGAAAACTTTCACATCGACAGTATATCCTCTCTGCTTCCCATGTAAACACGAGATTTCCAAATGAAGATGCGATTGGTCCAAAACCGAGTGAGCTCAGAGCCCTAAGTTATCTCCACTATGACAACAATTATAGGACACAACCAAATATTTATTGAAGATGTTCAATACAGAAAACATCTTGAAAACGGAAAGATGAAGTTGACTACTATCTTTCGCTAAATTTGAAGCTCAACTACACGAAATTTATGTATAGTATCTAATACGAAACAAAATATATAAAAGTAAAAAAAAAAACAAAAAACCTGGACCAAGTAAACGATACCCCACACATCCTTTGGAGGGAAAATCCACACTTAATGGTGATCAAATTAATGCCCTGCTCTCTCTACCGAAATAAGTCTGTCTATTTATGTAAAATGGCTTTGTATTAATAGTAAGTGAAGTTAACTTCTTTTCAGACAGAGGAAAGTCTTTTCAGAGGGAAATATTCCAAAACGATTCACTTCAGAAGATCTTTTTTGTCATTGCCTGATTATTTTCAACCATATTTAGCATTCAAAAGTCATAAATAGAACTTTTGATCTGTTTTAAGTCACCAGTTTTCACCGACATATCGGTCAACCTTAGAGCTAAAAATAAAAACTCCAATGGAGCGAGGAAAAAAACCATGGTAACTAACCACAATGAAGAGCTCTAATCGAGATTTTAATTCTTAAGGGCAGACGTTGGTGATATAGATATTTCTGATTATATTTCGTTTTCACGGCTTAAATACAGTGGCTTGGGCTACTAAGTGTTTCGCTCAGACGCTGATTTTTTTACTTCTTTACCCAGCGTGTCGTGAGAGAAAGCGACAAAAATTATTCAAGCATTCTGAGAGGGGAAAGGAGAGGAATGTGTTGCATTGACTCGCCGAAACGCCCCCGAAAATAATTCGACAACAGACGAAATGAGCGCGTTTGAGTTAAATAATTTCGTTACCAGAATAACACTTATTACTCTCCAAGGAGTACTGCGGTTTACACAAATCGACAGCAAGATCTGAGGGTTTGAAAACATTTTCACCATTCTTCTCCTCCAGTATTTATACGTTTTTATCAAATCTGTACGATTTATATATTCGTATGAGAACGTTGGTTGTTCCTTTATCACTTTGCACCGTTGAATCAAGAGTTTTTGCTAAGGTACAGAGATGCCGTCGAAGAAAACGGGCTCCAGAAAATCGCATATGGATGAAAACACGTCATAGATACTGGCCAGCGAAAATGATGAGCGTGGGCTCATTTCAACCCGCGGGCTCTTCAAAACAAAAATCCACGTGATTACTCGGAGAACGTGAACTAATTAACCGGTTTACACTAATCAAAGAAAGCACGCGCAGGCTACGTCTCTTAGGAGTTAGAGGTAAAGTTTCGCACAACTCATGTGATAAGCTTATCACAGTTTATGATTCTATATATCAGACCAAAAATTGCTTTCATTTGTCGGTTAACCAAAAGATAAACGCACAGAAATGCACAGTTTTGTCTGCTATATTCTTTTTGAACAAAAGTCATTTGCAGGGTTATAAATTTGATAGAATTTTGTGCTTTTAGAATTCTGCAATAGACTTTCGCACTTTTAGAATTTCAGATTGAATGTTTATTTTTTAATCAATTTATTCTAATAATCCTTTTTTAATATTATTTTTCCATCAATCCATAGCCCATGGAGGACCTAATAGACAGATTCAATACCTTAACCATAAACGATCAGAGATCACAGGTGAGTAAATGATAAAAAAAAACAACAACAACAACAAATAAAACTAGTGGTGGTGAGTGGAGTTTTGATTCACGTGAGGCCCTCAGCCTGTCTTTAATAAGAACAGTCATTCAAACAACATCTCATGTGTATAATAAAACCTGCTATATTCAAAGATTTTAATATTATTTCTGCATCAATCCATAGCCCATGGAGGACCTAACAGACAGATTCAATACCTTAACCATAAACGATCAGAGATTACAGGTGAGTAAATGATAAAAAAAAAAAACAACAACAACAAATAAAACTAGTGGTGGTGAGTGGAGTTTTGATTCACGTGAGGCCCTCAGCCTGTCTTTAATAAGAACAGTCATTCAAACAACATCTCTTGTGTAATAAAACCTGCTATATTCAAAGATTACTCTTCAAGGGTATTAAGGAGTGTAGTATGAAAAAGTGAAACATATACTGCATGTACTTAGTGCACCAAAAAATTTGGGAATTTAAAACCCTCGTACTTAGCTTCTGGGTGAAACAACTGTACAAGTGCGAAAAAACAAACAAACAAACAAACAGACCAACAAACCAAAAATTATCAGAAATACTCTATTCTGAAAATATGGGAAACCAAAGAAAAACAAGGAAATAAAACTTTGACAGCATATCCTCTCTGCTTCCCTTTCACACTCACCAAATTCATACTGCAGCAGCAGGTCTATCTAATTTCCTAACTAGACACAGAATGAGTGATTTTAACTACTGTTAACTTTCCTTTATTTTTTTTATATTTCCTTTGGGCAGGACCGTGCGGTGAAATTGTTGTTGTTCCTACTGTGGTGTATTATTTGTGCTCTCATAGGAGTAGCCTTGGACATGTTTGAGGAATATCTGTACAAATAACAGTGCAAAATGTTTTGCTTAGGGTTAGGGTTAGCTTAGGGTTACATGTTAAATTTTCGGATACATTTTATTTAATTATTGTAACTCCTCTTATTTATAAACATGTTAATTCGAAATTTCCAAATAAAGATGTCATTAGTTCTAAACCGAGTGAGCTCAGGGTCCTAAGATATCTCTACTATGACAACAATCATAGCACACACAAACAAATATTTATTGAAGATGTTCAATTCAGAAAACATTCTAAAATGATGGAAAAGTTGAACCTACTATGTTTCACTAAATATGAAGCTCAACAACACGATATCTTTGTATAGTATCTAGTAAGAAACAAAATATGTTTCACTAAATATAAAGCTCAACAACACGATATCTTTGTAGAGTATCTAATAAGAAACAAAATATATAAAAGTAAAAAAAAAACCATGTACCATGTGAACCACACCCCACACATCCGTTGAGGGAAAATCCATACGTAATGTTGATAAAATTAATGCCCTGCTCTGTCTAACGAGGTCTTTCTATTTATGCAAAATGGCCCTGTATTCATGGTAAGTGAAGTTAACTTGGGAGAGCTGTTTCTAATTGTTTTCTTTTCAGACAGAGGGAAGTCCCCTCAGAGGAAAATATTCCCAAATGATTAATTTCAGAAGATCTCTTCTTTCATTGCCTGATTATTTTATATCACTAGCACCATTCTCCTTACGTCTCTCTTTTCGCTATTAATTGTGATCTTCAGTTCATTGGCTTGCAAACCGAGGAAAGAGGAAAAATAAAAAAGGGCTACAAAATTTCAGGGTTTGAGCAAATCTAGAAAACATAGGTCTTAGACGCTACATGCAAAGTATGAAACATCGTTAGAGAGAGAGATGTT